AAGATTGCTACTCACTGCCATGAAATGTCTTCCCTTCACTGAGCATTAATAAAAAATAAGTATAACGATATATTCCCCAGTTTACCTGGCTTTACATTTTCAAAATGTTTTCTTTTGTATGTCAGTTATTTGGTGACTTTTTTTTCAAAGCAGCAGGTTACTTTGTCCTATTGCAATCTTATTCAGAGCCCTAACATGGAAGAGATAAATGTGGGCCTTGCTGTGCTTGGAGACAGCCCAAACACTGCAGTCTCTACTCTTTCACCTGCCATTCACACCACCTCCCTGTCAGACCCTGCCCTGAGACCACCAGTGAACCTACATTTCCGGATCCTGTTCATTCATCCTAACTGCTCCCTTCCACTGACCAGACTGGGAGACTGGGAGACTACAGCCTGACCACATCCTCTGTTACTTCAGTCTATTAATCAGAATTGTTCAGGCTTTTTATCCTCTCCCTAACGTTGGTAACTCCAAATCTCTCCTCTCTTCTTGCTCTCCTCCTTCTGTTCTCACCCACTTCCAAGGCCTCCAGTTTTTATCTAAACTAAGTTGACATTGGGCACCTGGGTGGCTCAGTTGGTTAAGCGACTGCCTTCAGCTCAGGTCATGATCCTGGAGTCCCAGGATCGAGTCCCGCATCGGGCTCCCTGCTCAGCAGGGAGTCTGCTTCTCCCCCTGACCCTCTTCCCTCTCGTGCTCTCATTCTCTCTCTCTCAAATAAATAAATAAAATCTTTAAAAAATAAATAAATAAATAAATAACCTAAGTTGACATCTCCAGCCTAAGATCTGTCCTGAACATCAGACTCCATATATGCACTGGCTGCTGGCCATAGAATAAGGTATTCATTCAAGGTCAAGGAAGAAAAGGAGACCCCACAGGATGAAATGACTGACCTAGGCTCAGCTGAGCATCTGGCCAGTTTTGAGGCTTTAGACAACTACATTAGCATAGAGAAGTAGCCAGGTCCTGATGGGGGGTGGGGGTGGTGGTAGAAGGAAGTGAGCCTGGAGTTGGGAGGGGCATTGTGCCTTTTTTGACTCCCTTCTATCTACATCTCACTGTCTTGCTTTCCTACTTTCATCTCCATCTGAGTCCTAACAACCATCAGGAACATATAACCCTGAACAGCTGAAAAGGGATCACTGCTCCCAATCTCCATCCAACACTCCTAGCTAGGATTCTGGTGTAGCTAGCTATGTCCATCTTGGCCTTAGCTGGAAAAAATATGGATATTTAAGACTGCAGAATGCCAGCATAACTTACAGAGAGGTTGAATCACTATTGTACAGCTGAAACTAATGCAACATCATGTGTCTGCTATACTCAAAAAAAAAAAAAGACTGCAACACACCAGATTTAGCTTATATAGATTTTTATAAAAGTGATGGTAAGTGGTGGAGGGAGATTAAACACTTCAACGGGTTTCTGAGAGTGCTATCCTTCTTTTGTAGTGAAGACCCAGTCTTCTCTGTGGTCAGTTAAGAGTAGCAATCCACAACACTTAATATTCACAACTGTTGTGATGGTAACTACAGGGCAGATACCCCCCAAGAGAAAATATGGTTCCCTCCCTACTGGGAGCTTTAGCTCCTGCCCTTGGTAAGAGAATGGTGGTCTGTGGTTAGTGACCAAGGCCTGAGAGAAATCTAAGAACCTCAGCAGGGAACTCTGGGACCTTTGTTGGTTCATTCCTTGACTCTGACTCACTCTGTCAGCTCCACATGGAGCAGCACAGAAGCTTTAAAGGCCTAGGCCTTGGCCTGGGGATTACAAGGGAAACCTGACCTGCTTTCCAAGTTGTGGGCCAAGTGGGAAGGGACCTAAGACAATATAGGGAAGTGGCAGCAGCTTGAAAGAAGAGACTTTGAAAACAAGCTTAAAACCAGGGATTGGGAGTGGGAGCTGACCCAACCAGAGAAGGGCCTGATGGTTCCTCTATAGGAATTCACACTGTCCATCAAAGAACTAGCCCCTTACAAGTTGGAAGGCCTGTGGTAGTATCATCTAATGTAGCCCCTTCTTTCACAGAAGGAAGCTAGGAGTTGGCTTGAGTTGAGTGGTGAGACCTCAAAATTACCAAAGAGCTCAGTCACTCTAGGAAGGCTTTCTTCCTGGCCCACTTCCCCCCAGGTCTCTGATTTGTGAGTTTCCATATGCGTGTCTGCTTGTCCCTAGAGTTGGGAAGCTTTTAAGAGGAGTCTCATCTCCCTCAATCTACAATGCTAAATAGTCCAGTCTCCCAAGAACTGGTCCCAATCTGTCATTTACCTGCATGTGGTGACATGGAGATTGACAATGGTAGGCCTCCTAAGCTGAGGGTGTCGGCATACTTTACCTCAGGAGTCCCATCCTAGCTGACAGGGACAGGCAGGATGAAGGGACCAATGCTAGAGGCAGTAAGTTAGGTGAAAAAATAGCACTCAAATAGGAAGAAGCCTGAGTTGGCCCACAATGCTCTCCCCCCACCCCGAACACTTTATCTTATGTTCTCAACTGTACAGTCCAGCATTTGATAGTGGATTCTCTTGCTTCGTTCACCAACCTCCTATGTGAGAGCCTTGACTTCCTGAACAGATCTAGGCTCCTTCTGTCTTCCCCCATCTTTCCCTCTTTAAACACCTAGCACAGGTAGGCTCACATTTTGGGAAATCACTCTCTTCACAATGTAAAAGCTACAAGTAAACTATGGCAGTAGGGGAAAGCTATTGATCCCTTGCTCTCAGATTCAGGAAACATCAATTTGCTAACCTTCCTCAGAGTCAGGGACACAGATTAAGAAGGCTTCTGGCCTGGCTCATCCTGTCACTCACTTAACCACCTACCAGGCAGGACCCAGGAATCTGCGCTTTTATGGAGCTCTTACAAGTCATTACCTCACCAATCCTCAGATGTGCAACTCATGTATAACTTCTGAATTTGCAGAGCACTTTGGTTACAGCCTCTTCAAACAAAAGATAGTTCAAGGCTACCTCCTCCAGATCTCTTATCATTAATCCTGTTTCCTCCACATTTCACCAAACCCCTCTGATTTCCCAGATTTCCCTGTTCACCTCTTATGCTCACTTGCCCCCAAGAGAACACAGACTCATCCAGGGAAAGGGTTGGCTTAAACTTTCGTTCTACACTTCAGCTCTTGATTGAAGTAAGAAACTCAAAACATCTGTTGGCAGATCAGGAGATGGATCCTTAGAGGAAGTCTAGTATAAGAGTTAACAACAGGTGCTTTCAAGTCAGATGATCTGGGTTCTTGATTGGCTAATAAAATTTTCCTGTGCCTCAGGTTTCTTTTTTTTTATCAATACCTACCTCAAAAGATTGTTTTGAGGGTGGTGAATAATATCTAGAAAGCACTTTGAACAGTTTGTGGAACAGAATTAAGGACCCAGTAGATGTTAGCTATCACTTTTATTAAAAAACACCCCCAATATTTGCACACTCTCCAGGTCAGAACTGCCCCAACTGGGCAGGCTGTCACTGGTCAACAGGGAGTAGCTACATGACACGGGGCATGGTGCTACACGGACAAAGCTTTTGGTTCCATTCTAAGAGAGAGATGCAAATGAATGACTCAAGATCTTCCCACAAAAACCAGTGTACCCCTATGTATGGTGTTTCCTGGGAGAATGATCCCTTTGGTGCTCTGCAGACCTCAGGACCCTACACCAGGAGGTCCTACCTGGGAGCATCGGTCACCAACTCTGTCACCCTACATGCAGCATGGGCTCAGGATCAAATACCTGGAATCTAGGAACTGTTCATACTCTGAAAGGAGAGCTAAAAAAAATTCCCTCTGGTTTCCAAGGACAAAACACTACCTTGATCTTTGAAAGAGAGCAACACAGTGAAGAGGCCAATGGCTTTGTGAGCAAACCAACCTGAGCTCCAGTTCTAGAGCAAATCACTATAATCTTCCAGACCTTACCTTCCTCATCCATATAGAAATAGAAGGGAGTGAGCATAATAACCTCACTGGATTATTGTTAGGTTTGAATGAGGTAATGGGGGAGGAAAGCAACCAAGCACAGAGATTGGCACCCAGCAAGCACTCAACTGGTGATTCCCTTTGCTTGCCCACAGCTAGGGCTATGGCCTATGGATAAAGTAGATGGCTCTGAGAACTGAAAGTCTCAGATACCCAGGCCTTGGGTCCCACTCTGCCTCCCCATCCCTCCCAGACCAGCTCTTGGACCCCCTTCTCACCTTCCCAGCCCAGAATGCTACTAAATTGATGAAGCTAAAAGGGTTTGATCATGTCGGTATATTTATATGTAAATACAAAACTGTATCGCTATAAGATATTGAATATGAACATTTACAATTATTTTCTGAATCTGACTCAGTCCATTGATGTTAAATACAAAATGAAAAGATTGTAAAAATAAGAATATATACATTCAAAGAGCTTATTACAGTATAAAAGTATTGAGGTCTGATCAGCTGCCAACCTCATCTGGGATGGGAGAAGGTTTATGGGTTCCTAGGATTTTCTTGCGAATGTGGAGTGCTGGGGACTCTTTGATTCCATCCCTGGCACATCAGGCTGGACAGGCTGGGAGCAGACAGGGACAGGATGGGTGAATAGGGGGCAAACAGTGATTGCAGGCAACTGCCCTACCCAGCCAGGGGTTAAACTTTTTATTGACACAGAGCCCACCCAGCCTGAGCTCCAGGGTCTGGCAGGCTTCTAGGAAGGAAGAGATGGGCATTTAAGTGGACAGGGCCAAGTTGCATAAGGAAAGGAACTTTCTAGCAAAAGAAAAAGGGGCCCCAGTTCATTCTCCCAAGGAGGGATTCTCATAGTTTCCTTTCTCTCTCACACCTGGGCTCCCTCTCTTTTTTTCTAAGACTTCGTACCAATTGCTCTTGGCTCTGACTGCTCATCTTTACTCCCAGACCCCAAGCCCCAAGAGACAGAGGAAAGAGGGGTCTGGAATCACAGTGGAGGTCTATTCCCCAAATTGGCATAGTAAACAGAGTAAAATCATTAGATAAGGGCAATTCATGCTAAGTTAAACCAGTGTCACCATAAATCAGAATTCTTGGCTCCAGTATTCTGGAAAGAGGTAAGTCCTTACGTAAGAATGAGGGCCTGTGGCAGGAGCATGAGGAGTGGATGTGTGTGTGTGTTCTCTTCCACCACTCTGCAGTCTGACAACAAGGGATGTGATCCCCAGCCCCAGCTAGTCCAGGATAAACAGCTGGGTCCACGAAGCAAAGAGTCCTGAACTGCAACACGGAGCCCCAGGAAAGTCTACAAAGGAGTATCTCTGTGTATATGTATTTATAGAATACGACCATATTATTACATACAATATATATTATATACACACGTACATATGGACCCATACATGTAAGTGCGCGCGCACATGCACGCATACACACACACACACACACACACACAGAATGACAGAAAAGACTGGAATACACGCCCTAGGTATAAACGTGCTTGGCACTCGGGACGTTCTCTAGAGTATGTAACTTGGTCAAGCTCTCTGGGAAGGAAGGTGGATGCTCATCAAACCTCCCCATCAAATCCTAGCAAAGGGAAGGAATGGGAAAGAGACCTCAAGAAGGAGAATGGCATTGGGAAAGGGGGGAGGGAGTTTCCTTCCCCACTTACCTCGGGGCCCCTGGCAAAAACCGATAGCCACAATTTGGTTTTAATAAGGCACAGTTCGATAGCAGGTGCTAGGAATTAAGAACACATTGCTGCTGGCCCTCTCTAGTGGCAATTTCACCACATCTATCTAGCCAAAGGGGAACGGCTGCCTTGTGTGCACGAGTGCGCCAGGAGACACGAGGAAGAGGTTGGTCCATTGCTTCAGCATAACTGACGGCAACCTATAGGCTCAGCGGTGTCCAGGGTAGTTTAAGGAAGGCTGGCCAGCACATGGGAGGATCGTGGGACAGTTACTGACCCTCCATGGCCAGGAGGTTGTGACTGGAAGGCACCATGCCCTCCCTCTCTGCAAACTCCAGGATCGCCTTGTAGCAAAAATAGTACTGCTCAGGGGTCTGGATGCTGAAGGCCCTCTGGGTCCTCATGCGGGACACCGTCTGGAACACATTAAGGGTGCCAAGCTCCTCCAGCTGTGCCAGGCAGATGTCCAGTGAGCAGAAGGTACCTGAAGGAAGGAAAGAAGTAGTCATACCTGGTCTATCTCTCCTCTGTCCCTCCCTCTACCAAATGACCCAGGCAGGTTGGATGAATGAATTCAAAGGCAAGGTGCCTTATGGTAGATGGCCAGGTGGCCTTGGGCTTGAAAGGATTCAAGGAGGAGGTCACTTTGGAGTGTTGGGAGTCCAGAGAAATGAGAAGGCCTCTTGTCTCCTAAGACAGTACTGGAGGTAATAGGAAGAGAAGGTGGGAAGGTGACATAGAAGAACTGCCTGTCTTAGACAAGACAGAATGACAGCCCACACCTGGGCCCTAATTTTCAGAAACTCCACAATTTGTCCACAGAGATCTAACAGAAACTTATTCTTCCTGACTTTCTCCCAAAGGGACCTCTGAACTAAAAAGACCAGCAGTCCCTGCAATGCACATCCCTTAAGGTAAAAGCTGCTAACTAGCTCCAGAATGAGAGCACAGCTCAGGGTGGGGATCTCCTTAGGGAGGGGGATGAGAAGGAAGCAACAGCCCAGCTGGGCTCTCCAGAACATCCAGGTGACAGTATGGGGTCATAAGATAATCATGCTGATGTGATGTATAAAGCATCAACCCCCAGGGGCCCTGGCCCCTGAAGTGTATATTTTGGAGAGCACAGCTGGTGCTAGGGGTACCAAAAGGACATTAAAGAGGAATTTTTCATGGCAATTTGCTACCAATGAATCAAATTCTCGCAAACTGGCAACTAAGAGCTTTGTTATTTCTCCCCCATCCTTATTGCCTCTGGATGCTTTGAGGGCTGCCGCACCATCAGGTACATTACCTGTCCTGCCAATGCCTGCACTGCAGTGGACGACAATGGGTGGCTCAGGGCACTGCCCTTTGGAACGCGCTCCCATACTGCTGACAGCCAGCCTCTGCTGGTTCCTGACTACTCTCAAGAAGTCGATGAGAGAAGCTGCCGAGGAAGGGACACCATAATCTGGCCAGCTCAGGAACTGAAAGTGGGTCACCTGGCGTTTCTGCCGCTCCTTGGATGAGAAAAGAAGCAAAAGTTAATGAGGTCATTTCTGCTTGCCCCTGACTACATTTGGCTTTTCTAGATTCTCAATCCCCTGGTATCCCCACCAAGGTTCCTGCCTACGACCCTCAACTTTCTCCACAGTTGCTTCTCTACAAACCCAAAGGACAGGTTAAATGTCTGGAGAGGACAGAATTCCCTATGTAGGACCCAGATTTCTTATAAGTTTTATTCCTAAGTAATGCCACCGTTGCACTGAGACAATATGGCTATATTGGCTCTGAGCTGAATATCCATATCCTGTTCCCAGAAAAATGAAAGTAACTTATAAGCTGCCTAGATTCCTGCCTATTCCATTTGGAGATTTTCTTTACAGTAAAAGTTCTCCCCCAGCTTAAAAACAGTGAGAAAATAAAATCGGGATTTACCTCTATGTTGTGAATTTCTAGCGTTGTTTTCTTATAATGGTTCATGTTCTCCACGCCTAGATTGGTCACCGTGAGGAAGCCAAATCTGATCCGAGAGTCTCTTTCTAATGGCCAGTACTGGCCACACTTTCTCCTGCCGCCTTCCTCAAAGCTGAAGACAGCAGAGAGCAACGTAAGCCTTCCATCCTCCCTCTCCTTAGTAGTAAGCTATGATCTGCTGTCCCCCTAGCAGCAATGTCATCTCTTGCCTTGCTTCTAACTTATACCTTTGTTTCTTGGCAGAAAAGGTGGGAGACCTTCATTCTAAACAGATGTAGCAACAGCTAAAGTTTCTGCATGTTACCCATTTAGCTGACATTTATTGGGTGCCTGTTATACCATCTGGCACCTATCCTGATACCTCTTGCTACTCCTCACATATCCAGGATAAATACTGGGTGGACAAAAACAGACACCAGAGAAACTACGGTGGGCCAGACGGAACTCTCTGCCCTGTATCTCAGCCACCGTTCATTCTCTTCCCCAATAAGCGCCCTCGGCTGAGAGGAGGGGGAAACCCACACGTTTTTCTCCTCATCTGAAATAGGTTCTAATTATCATAATGATAATGATGATACTAATGAATTTGTAATTCCTCAAGTTTTGGCAGATATGTAGACCAAAATTTCAAAAGGATTCCTTTCATCCAGAGTCTCCTGCCTGACCAACTATGTTTCATCTCTCTTTTTGTAGTTCTCTTATAGGTGGAAATACGAATGAGCAGAAAAACTGTCGAAAGTGGTAGGGAAGGGGAGCTGGTAATTCAGAAGCCAGGAAGACAGCTGCCCTTTGGAAGTAGGGAGCAGATTAAAAGTGAATTGCCCCACATTTCCCACACTTCCTTTAGTGGATAAGGCCAGGACCTTGGAGTAGCCTGTAACTGGCACAGGGTCACCAGAGCCAAGGATTAAAACTCTGACACGTTAGATCTATCAATCTCCACCATATCCTGGCTATGTTAATTCTGGGTCAACTAAGAAAAAGCTAAAACGTCTCAAACTCTTTGCCATGGCTTTCCTAGTCCTCATTGTTTTATGAGCTAAACAGGAGGAAAAGGGAAGAACTCACCGGGTGGTCATGACAATCACCAGGACTTTTTGCTCCCATACCATGAGCCAGAAATCACGATAAGTATTCTCCAAAGGGCCTGGAATGGAAGGATAAGACAAGGAACATTACCCTGGGAAGCCCTTCTTTTCTCCCCAGGCATTTCTGGTTTTGTCCCCAGCTAGTAACTCCAAAGCACAGATGCTGGCTCCCTGCTCTTCTCACTGCATCCCTGCTATTCAGGGTGGTCCTTGGACCACCAGCTCCAGCATTGTATGAGAGAGTATTAGAAATGTGCAATCTGCATTTTAAGAAGATCCCAGGTAAGTTGTAGGTAAGTTACAGTTTGAGAAATACTGTTATGTACCTTCTCAAGAGCCTTACCATCAGGACTTGAGCTGGCACATCCAGACAGGGTCAACTGTGTACACGCCTCTTGTGGTTTTCATCTCCCTAAAGCCTTATAATCATCAGTAGCCTACTAAACCACTCCCCTTCCATGTCCCATCATGGGTCTCCTCAGACCCAACATGCTTGCCATTCAATCTCTTCCTTCAAAATTAGCCTTCTCTATTTTCCCATCTCTGTTCAAAAAAGTATTGGCATTCTTAAATCACTCAGTTTTAAAAAGTTGGAGTCAACTGTGACTTATCCATTTCCTTTATCTTCCAGAAGCAATCACCAAGTCCTAGAGATTTTTTTGCCTTGGATTGTTTTTGGTTTTCATCATGCCCTCCCGACCCAACCTCACTGCCACAAGGACCACATCATCTTTTGTCTGAGTTACTGTAATACCCTCTTGGTTTATTTTTCTGAATAGGACTCCTTCCCTTCCAGTCTATTCTGGACACCCCTGCCAGCTGAATCTTTCTAGAAACTTGCTTCATCACAGGGGCACCTGGGTGGCTCAGTTGGTTAAGCATCGACTCCTGATTTTGGCTCAGGTCATGATCTCAGGGTTGTGAGATCAAGCCCTGTTGGGCTCCACACTCATTAGGCTCCACACTCAGTGTGGAGCCACTTAAGAGTCTCTCTTTCCCTCTCCTTCTGCCCCTCCCCTGCTCGCACTTTTTCAATCTCTCTCTAAAAAAATAAATTAAATTAAAAAATAAAAACTTGCTTCATCACAATATAGACAGCTCTTGACGGCATAGCTGGATCAAAACAGCTTAACCATTTAATGTATGTGGTCTTACATCAGTCACTTTACTTTGTGAGAATGAATCATGTCTCAACAAACATGGGTGCTGAGGGTAAGAGCCACATTGTCAAGTTCTCCTTTTAGAGTTAGAACCTTCACAGGACTGGGCACTCAGGGGAAACTTTGAAGATACCTGTGGGCCACCAACTCCCTTTTAAGCAAGGAAGTAATAACTTGGGATAATTCCGCGTACTTTCCCAGTCCTTTTTCCTCTGCTTTTAGGGAAGAAGGGCAGTATCAAGGGTTGATTTTGTGCTGGAAGTCTGCTGGTTTTACTACCGTTTTTGCTAAAGCCTTTTAGGAGCATTAATGTTTTATGATACTAGAATTCCCTCTTGGCAGAAGTGGACACTGCCAAAAGCATGTGAGATCTTGGAAGCAAGCTAAATGTCTATCAAGAGAGAGTTGTTAAATTATGGCATATCCCCAATTTAAGTAGTCCATAAAGGTGATGTTGTAAGATTTGTTATTTTTGCTCTGGAAAGGTATTCACAAGATACCATCATATGAACAAAGAAGTAACATATAGAAAGAACCCATCTTGTTAGATATTTTATATGTCTGTATCTATTTGCACAGAAAACAGTTTGGAAGGAAATGCTACAGAATGTTAACATTATCTCTGGGTCTTAGGGTTATGAGTGAATTTCATCTCCATCTTCTAAATTTCCTACAATGCATTTACATTACCATAGTATGTATGTGAAGAAGATAATAAGAACTCCCGTTCCCCATCTCTGACCCCAGCCTTGTCCACATCCTACTACCCTGCACCACAGCAGCACTCATATGCTTTATTTTCCACACTCAAATCACTGGCAAAAATGGTGTTCCCAATCAGAGCGCCTGACCACCCAGACACCATTCAGACTCAGGCTTCGCAAAGAGGGGTCATAATATCCTCCAAGGCGTAAGAGAGACTTAGAAGGGAAAGCTGCACCTCCCAGATTACTCTTTAACAGTGAACTTCTCTGAAGAACTCAAGTCGGTGGTTTATGCTGACATGGGTGAAACAATCCTCTGACTTGGCTTGTGAGGACTTTTGAATCAAACAGACATACTTTCAAATCCTGGCTCTGCCACTTACTGTGTGATCCAACATCGCCTAACCTCTTTGGGCTTCAGTTTGTTCATGGGTTAATAAACCTTCCTTGCAGAGTCTCTGTAATAATTAGATGAAGATTATATACCTGATATATAATAGATATTCTCAATAGATAACAGATATTATTAATAGAAATAGTATTATTAATAAGAATCAAAATACTGAATATAGCCAAGAAAGTTAGCCAGGCAAATCAAATCAGCCTGCTCCACATCACAGGACCCCCATCTTCCAGTCCTAAGAGAGTACTGATGCTGTCTAAAGGTGATCTGTGCTTGACTCAAAATATCTCTCTCATACTCCTAGGGGAGTTTCTTCTGGATACGGCCTTCAAAGCCACCCTAAAGAATCCAGTTCCCGCAACTCTGAGTAGTAGCTTTGCCTTCTAAACCTGGAGAAGGAAGCATTCTGGGGTACCCTCGAGCCAATCCTTACCCTCCATAAGCCCAATCTGCCAACACCATCGTCCTCAACAAAGCCCCTACTCTCAGGCAGATCACGTCATATCATATATGCCAAAAATTTTTCCTGATAATTCTCATTTCTTCTTAGGGTCTTAAAAGGACTCTTCTAGGAGGGAGTGGTCCCTCCTAGGAGGAAAATATAAACCTGTGATCATCAGACCAATTAACAATATATCAAGAATCCATTTTTTTCTCCCTCAACTTTTATTTTGAAAAATTTGAAACCAACGAAAAGTTGGAAGACTACTACAACGTACTCATAAATTCTTTAGCTTGAAAGCTATCATTTTTAGCTATTATTTCAACATTTATTTCTATCTATAAATACACACACTTTTTATTTTGTAACTATTTAAAAGTTAGTTCCAGAAATTATGACACTTCGGGGCACCTGGGTGGCTCAGTCGGTTAAGTGTCTGCCTTCAGCTCAGTTCATGATCTCAGGGTCCTGGGATCGAGCCCCGCATCAGGCTCTCAGCTCAGCGGGGAGCCTGCTTCCCCCTCTCTCTCTGCCTGCCTCTATGCCTACTTGTGATCTCTCTCTGTCAAATAAATAAATAAAATCTTAAAAAAAAAGAAATTATGACATCTATTCCTAAATGCTTGGGCACATATTTAGAAGAACAAGGACTTTCTCCTATAGAACAATACCATTATCACACTGAAACAATTAAACACTGATACAATATTATCTAATATACAGTCCCCAATTATCCCAAGTTTGTCATTAACAGTTTTCTTCTCTAAACTGAAGTTCTAATAATGGGCACATGCCTTTGGTTACCATGTCTCTCTAGTCTCCTTTAATCTAGAAGAGTTCCCTGCTTTTGTTTTTCTTGGCATTAACTTTGCAGAGTCTAAGCCAGTTTTGTAATAGTATGTCCCACCATCTGGATTTGTCTGGTTTACTTTTCATGATTAGATTCAGACTTAAAAACTGGCAACAAACAATAAAGGTTATGTTATATAGTTCTCACTATATCACAACAGAGGCATGATATCTGTCTATTATTGGTGATACTAAGTTTGATCACTTGCTAAAGAGGTATTTGCCAGATCTCTTGCTGGCCATGCTCTGCAATGGGCAAAGGGCCTAAAGCCCATAGGGTGGCCTCTTATGTCCTCCTCTCCCCACCCTTTTTGAAGGCAACTTGGTATTCTCCTTGAGATGGCTGAGGCCAGGTCAGGAGGACTACTGGAGCCCACAGGAGCATTCATAGAAACTCTTATCTGAAATCTTCACTGTCAGACCTAGTATAGACTTATCTGTATCAGAAGACTGCTGGGTACTCTCTGATGGTATAGGAACCAGCAAGTCTCTTAGGACAGCAACATCCTTTCATAGACTGGACTCAATCTCTGAGAAGCTCCACTGCCACTTTTGGCCTCCTACTGGACATAAAGAGCATCTCACTGGCCAATGAGTTCGGACGTCCCATTCCCCTGGGTTGGCAATGCATAGTCCAAAAACTTGTAGTAGTGTTGTATGTTCAAATCTCCAGTTTATCTCTATGCAGCAAGTTTCCACACGTATCTGGTACAGAAACTCTATACCTCTCCTTTGCCTTCTCAGTAACACCCAAGCTTTATGAAATGCCAGGATTTAGTGGCCACATCACCACCTCAAGTTACCTTCAAAAACTATGCAATCATCTGGTACAAGAGATCATAGGTAGTTGACATAAAACCAACTTGTAAGGAGTACCCTAACTTACCTTGTGTACCAATGTAAGCATTCTTCTGCTTGTAGCCATCCATGAAACTGGCATTGATGTAATCTGTCTAATGATAAAAAGGAAATGTCATTGCAGCTGTGTGGAATACACCATTTGGGTGGGAAAATTATGTACGAGGTAAATAAAATCCAAGGTATAGATATTCTTTCCCTGTCAGACAGACAGTGAGGAGCAAAAGCATCAGTTCAAAACTTGGTTTCTACCAATGTTACTGGAACAACTGGATCCACATGCAGGAAAAAAAAAAAAATCAAGCTGGACTGTTCTTCACACTAAACACAAAAACTGACTCAAAATGGATCACAGACCTAATGTTAAGAATTAAAATTATAAAACTCCTAGAAGAAAATGTAGGATTAAATCTTTGTGACCTTGGGTTAGGTAAAGCCTTTTTAGATCTGACACCAAAAGTACAAGCAGTAAAAGAAAAAACAGGTTCATTGAACTACATTAAAATTAAAAACTTTTGTGCTTCCAAGGACACCATCAAGAAAGTAAAACCACCTACAGAATGCACATATTTGATAAGGGACTTATATCTAGAATATATAAAGAACTCTCACAATTCAATAGTAAAAAGACAACCCAATTTTAAAATGGGCAAAGGGGGGGCGCCTGGGTGGCTCTGTCATTTACTCGTCTGACTCTTGATCTCAGCTCAGGTCATGATCTCGGGGTCATGAGTTCAAGCCGTACATTGAGCTCCATGCTGGGCATGGAGCCTACTTAAAAAAAAATAACTAAAAATAAAATGGGCAAAGGATCAGAATAGACATTTCTCCAAAGAAGATATACAAATGGCCAATAAACACATGAAAACACGCTCAACATCATTAGGCACCAGGGAATGCAAATTAAAACCATAATGAGGGGTGCCTGGGTCGAGCATCCGACTCTTGTTCTTGGCTCAGGTCTTGCTCTCACTGTTGTGAGTCCAAGCCCCATGTTGAGCTCTGCTCTGGTCATGGAGCCTACTTAAAAAAAAAAAAAAAAGTGAAAAGTCAAAACCATGATGAGCCACAACTTCATACCCATTAGGATAGCTACAGGTACAAGATACCAACACATGTTGGCAAGGATGTGAAAAAGCTGGAACCCTCATATACCCCTAGTGGGAATGTAAAATGGTGCAGTCATGTTGGAAAACAGTCGCAGTTCTTCAAAAGGTTAAACACAAAGTTACCATATGACCCAGCAATTCCACTCCTGAGGGAAATGAAAACATATGTCCATAGAAAAACTTACACACAAATATTCATAACAGCATTTTTTATAATAGCCAAAAATGGACACAACTCAAATGGTATTCACCTGATGAATGGGTAAATAAAGGTGGCATATCCATACAACGGAATATTATTTAGCAATAAAATGGAGTGAAGTACTGACACATGCTACAACATGGATGAACCTTGCAAACATGCTAAGTGAAAGAAGCCAGACACAAAGGCTATATATTGTATGATTCCATTTATATGAAATGTCCAAAATAGGCAAATCCATAGAGACAGAAACTACACAGACTGGGAGAAAATGGGGTGTGACTGCCAAGTGTATGGAGTTTCTTTTCAGGTGATAAAAATGTTCTAAAGTTGATTATGGTGGTGGCTGCACAACTCTGTGACTATATTAAAAAACACTGAATTAGGGGCACCTGGGTGGCTCAGTCAGTTAAGTGTCCAACTCTTGCTTTCAGCTCAGGTCATGATCACATAGGTCGAGAGATGAGCCCCACTTTGGGCTCCATGCTCAGGAAGGAATCTGTGGGAGAGTCTCTCCCTCTGCCCCTCCTCCCACTTGCAAGCGCCTGTGCTCTCTCTCAAAATCAATCAATCAATCTTTTAAAAAAAGGACAAAAACCAGACCACTGAATTATATGCTTTATTTTTTTAAGATTTTATTTATTTATTAGAGAGAGAGAGAGAAAGTGTGCATGTGAATGGGGAGAAAGGCAGAGGGAGAAGGACAGACAGAATCTCAAGCAGAACCACCTCCTCCCCCGACCAAGTGCAAACCCAGATATGGGGCTCAATCCAAGGACCCTGAGATCATGACCTGAGCCGAAATCAAGAGTCAGACACTCAACCAACTAAGCCACCCAAGGCACCCCTATATACTTTAAATGGATAAATTGTATGATATGTGAATTACATCTCAATAAAGCTGTTATTTACCAAAAAAGGAGCCCATTAAGACTTGCAGCACTGGTTCAAAACCAATGGGAGGCAAGCCAAGCACCCTGAGCAGGAACATCCTGTCCATGCTGTCACACACAAAAGGCAAAGTGTGACTGGAGAAGGAAGAAAGCTATACCTCATATCTAGCACCATCAACATCATGGGCCAAACACCCAGGCTCCTTTACTACCTGAATTAACACAAAGCAACAGCCAAATTCAGAAAGGTCTCAATGAACAGCTCTTGACTCATTCTCTTCTGGGGGCCTTCTCTCATTTCCTCGTGTCCTCAGTCTTATTTTAACGTCATTAGCTATCAGGGAAATTAAATAGGATTTTAATTTTTATTATTTTTATTATACCTTCTCACAAAATCTCTGCCAACATCCTTGCTGATAATCCAAGCTGGTAAAAGAGAAACACAGACGCAGTTACAGTGTCAAGTCATAGTACAACTAGTTGAGAGTATCTAGCAGGTACTAGGAATAGCAGAGGGTGTGGAGGGGAATAGGAGCACAAAAGACAAAAAGTTTCCATGTCAGACTAAAGAAAACTCATACTCGACTCCACTCTAGGGAGCTCAGAGTGACTCAAACCTGCAGGACCCAGGAAAGAAGGCACAGAAAAATACAAAGGATTTACCTGGTACATGCCAGTCGACACTATTCTGTAACGCTCTTGGAACTACCTTCATGCTTTGAAAAGAAATACACTTCTTTAATGGAGACTTACTATTTCTTTATAAATAAGGATACCAGCTTTCAGTATCCTTGTCTCTGAGAGCACTGGGAATTAAAATCAGCAATTTCAGAAGAATCATCAGAAATTAAAACTGAAAATGACCTCAGAGATAAAGTATAGATTTGGGGGCAAACTGAAATAGCAGAGAATCAAACCAAGTATACTATGTTATGGGCCATGTTCAACAGAAACTGTGACTAATAGCTTTATAATTCCAGGAGCAAATCTGATGAACAATTCACTAATAAACCTGAATCCACCATTTGTTGTGGAAATAAAGCTTCTGCCAATGTTTGCAGTAATGAAAGGAATTTAATTCAAGTGATGATCTTTAGATTAATTATAGGATGACTAGAATAGTCTGCTGGTACACTAGGATTCACTCATTCCTTCACAAATAATTTACTGAAGGTATGATATGTACTGTTCTAGGTACTGGAGACACAGCAGTCAAGAGAACAGATAAATACAGCTCACTCCAGAGCCTCAACTTAACCATTATACACCACTCCTTGAGAGCATATACTTGATGATCTCAGTAATAGTGATGAACTTACCTTAAGTCAGCCAGACTCTGAGCTAATGGTCCTGCAGGAAGACCCTTTCTTTTTTTTTTTTTTT